AAGTATGGAAATATGATACCTGGCCTGCAAGAAAGAATTATGAACATAGTATATCTCATGCCTTCAAATGGCTGTCACTTGGTATTTGTATAGTTCACTACTGATTTAAACTATAATTTGTAGGAAAATGTCATTTAACTCTTGAATGCTTATGAAGAAGGAGTACCAGCATTAGCATGCTTGCAGTCAGATTGTTTCAGATTGCTTAATATGCTTAGTATTTTCACTGTTTTAATAATATAATTGGTATCCACAATACATTTAACTTATAAAACATGTCAGAATTAAAATCTTTATGTATCTGATGGTTATCAGTTAAAGAGAATTATGGGAAGAAATAAGACTTGGTTGCTTCAGTTAATACTGAGCCCTACAGAAACAGACTACCAAAGATAATTTATACATAGAAACTTATTTACAGTTAACATGTTTCTCAAATATACAGAGTTTCCCTAACAAGTGTATACACAATTAATTCACTTACCTCTTTATCATCAAAGCATATAGATATTAGTCTGTTGTTGTGAAATTTACCTTAATGTCTCTAATGTTCTGCATCAGGGCATTACTGACAATGATGCACAGCAGACTGCCACACTGATAGGCATATTGTTGATGAAGTAACCATACAAGTAAATTCAGTCTCACATTTCAGTTTCCCCAGCATCACTGGTTTCCCTCACATGCACACTCAGACACACAGTGTTAAGCTGTTCTTTAGACTACCCCACAAATAAAATGCTAATGGTGTTAGGTCAGGGAATCAGGATGGATTTGCTGCATTTCCTCTGTATTCTATCGATCTTCAGGTAAATAAGCATTCAGAAACAGAAAATCTCTCACTCTGTTCTAAAATGGTGGCACATCATCTTGCCAAAAGTAACACTTTTCACTTGTTCACATTCGTCAGTGCATGTTATAATTTTTGCCTGCACCATTTATATGTAGGAAATACCAGTGATGATCCTTTCAAAGAAAAATGGTCCAATGATTCTTCTGGAACACAGTCATAACTCTTTGTTATTTCTTGTAAATTAACTGCTTTTATATTGTCTAATGTGGAATTTTTAACCCAATACACAATGATTTTGCCAATATGTTTGAGAGTAGCTTCTTCAGATCAAACAGTTAAATGTGGAGAGGGTTGATTTTCATTACTCATGTAAAACCACTCGCAGAATTCAAGTTGATAACATGGATCACCGTTAGTCACAGCCTTGAGCAGCCCTGAGTGTGGCTTCCACTTCACATTATGCTGACTGTGATGGTTACTGTTTTCAATGACACAGTTCTCTTGAGAATACTGACTTCAAAACCTAGAGTAGTGTTTCTTAGCTGATGGGCTTGACGGTCTACTGGGAAGAGCATGAGGTCTTGAAAATAATAATTAATTCAGTGACACAAAATTCAGAAACTTTCTTGCATTGTAAATACAAGCTTCTCATTCATATTGCATGTTAATTATACTGTATTTATGCTAACAGAACTTTATATTCTTTATGTAATTATAGTAATAGAACTTATTACCAAAAATTATTACAATCTTTAAGATCTTGGAAATGACCATTATGATTAATATAATATTAAAATATATATATATTTGTAGAATATATACTTCTGGAAAATGAGAAACTTTGTTTTTACTATGATGGGACTATGGGTTATTGGCAAAATGACCGATGGGATGCAAGAACCAAAAAGTTCAGAATCACTGTTCTAAGGATTTGTATGAAATCCTCAGATACTTTCTGAGAATTTTCAAAATTTTCAAATTCAAATTAACTTGTGAAATTTTCCAGATCTTGTGCTTCCATATGCCTCAGACTTATTGCAAAATCTTGAAATGATTGAATGTGCTGGTAGATAAATTTGACATGTTTTCGTTTGTATTTTTGGTTTTTCGTGTTCTTGGTTTTACAGTAGCACGAAAGAATCCATTTATGTTGCTCAAATGTTATATGAATCCTGCCATTTTTATTAACAAAGAAATCTTATGTAGTTGGGTGTAACAACACTGAAGAGCACTAATTACTGTCACTCATAAGTATCATCTCAGTATCTGTATTTTTACTTATTTTATGAACATCCAGAAAGTGTATACATATTTTAGGAATACTCTGTATTTGTCAATATGTTAATACCCTTGAATTGTGAATACTTGTTAGAAGCTCAGTTGCATTGGTAATATAAATGAGCTTGAACTCAAAGTAGTACCTAATTTGCCTTAACAGTGAATGTGATTTGGCTTGAGACTGTGCCTCATTAGCAATACAAGCGGTATGTTATTTTCAGTGGTGAGGTGTATTAGTTTAAAAATATCTTCAGAGATTTAATAAAAATGTTTTTAAAACTGAACTTCCAAAATTTGATTTACATATCTAATCTGTAAATTCAGTTTTGGAGGCATCATTTTAAATACCATTATGCTTTATTCCCATATGAAACTTGATCCCATCAGGAATGAATTTGAAGATGCCTGTTTACATAGCCCAGCTAACATTATGCAAATGACCATTTTAAACATAGCATGCAGGACACTTGAGCTATGAGAGAACATGTCAGCAGTACTTAGCACACTTGGGAGATGAGGTGACTCATGAAAGTGCTCCTGTATATATAAATACCATGCCATGGAGACTGTGTTGGAAAAATGGCAGTGAAGGTCCCCTCGTTCTAGACTTTCACATCAGGTGGAAGTGTATGGCCAGATTGATTCCATCCACTTTACCCACAGGGAAAGAGGTTCCACTATGCATTGGATGTGTGGGGTTCTTAATGTGTAGTCTTGTCATTACTCCGATGACAACCCACTTCTTCGGAACAGTTTGTTGGTCCTGAAAAGGACCGTGGTTGCTGAGATGTTTGATCGGAGAGGTAGCGCGGCGCGCGCCGATAAGGAGCGAGGCTAGTTGCGGTGAGTGGCCTGGCCCCAGTGCGGCCGTGGCTGGAGGTTGCTTGATCGCAGCACCGCGGCTGCTGGTGAAAGGCTAGTTGTTGAGCACGGTCGTAGGAGTGATGAGGCAGTGGCTACACCAGGTGCCCAGTGGGTCGGACAGAGACACGACCACCGGTGAGTCCAGGCGAGGTGCCCCAGTGAGTCGGGTTGTGAGAGCCGGAGAGCCGAGGCAGTCGTGACTGGCGCAGCCTGCCAATGCCTCCAAAGACCAAGCACTGGCGGCGAAGCCTGCTGGCTGGTGTTGCTTGCTGTGGCTTGATCGTAGACTGATGATCGACTGAATACTCGGCGTTGGAGCTGCCCCTTTTTATACACTGCTCGGTTGGCGGAGCGAAACTTGAAATTGAGGAGGAAGAATTGATTGGCTAGCGCGCGTAATGGTGTAGATGCGGGCTAGCAGCGAGCGCAGTATAAATGCGAACGTTTGAAGCAATATGATTGGATATATATATATAAAGGGCATAATCTGCTGTACCTGGCCTGGACTGACGGAGGCTGTGTATATATTGTACATCTAAATAAGAAATAAGTGTATTATAAATATGTGTAAATACAGACAGTGGACTTAGTACTACAGACTGACTAACAAATGACAGACCCGACCTCTCGTCAGAGAGGGCGCTACACATAGACAGGACAGTAACTTTCACTCAAAGAAATATCTGGTCATGAGCCCCAGCTGGGGCTCGACACCAAGACAGACAGACTGACTGACCGTCAGTTGCAACGTGACTCAGACTCAGACTCAGAATCTGATTGGTTAGCGCGCGTGATGGTGAAAAGTGATGTGAAGAGCGAGCATTGCAGAAATGCGTGATAATGTGGGATGTTCCCACAGATGTGACTGAATTCGTTCCAGAGCTATTCTGGCTGTATTGTGAAAAAGAACACCCTTACCAGGATTTCAGTCCTGGTCATCCATACCATACAGGCATTCACTCTACTGACAGCTGGTGTAGCTCATCTTGAGATATTAATTCAGATTATAGAAGGAAATAATTTTATATTGATTACATGTTTTAATATATTTTATCTGTTTGAGAGATCTGAGAATTTTTCCACTTTTTATGTTGCATGAACTCGGAATATATAACAACAGTTCCAGTTTCTCATTATGTACGTTTATAGTTCACATGAATAGCCTCAGGTTTTTCCATGTAATCAAACTTAATGCTTATAGATATCACATACTGTATTTAAGCATGTACATTAGATAAGGTGTGACAGTAAGTTGACTTCTGTTGTTTGGAAACATAACCTGAAAGTAACTGTAATTAGGTTGGTTTTTATAAGCACTAAAGAGAAAAGTATGTGACTGTGAGTAATTGTATATGTATTTTAGACACATTTATAATCTTCTGTCACAAAGAATTTCATGTTCCCAGAAAATAATTCATCGGTTATTGTGATCAAGTCAAAAGGAAATCTATATTTTACATAATCCCCATGCTGAAATTTCCCATTCTAAGCATAATGCTTTCAACAAGTAGCATAATTTTTAAAAGACTTTTCATACAATATTTCACAATCCTTCATAAAGCAGTTGCTTTCATTTTTGCTCCTTGTCTTTGAATAATTAGCGTAATTAATAAACACAGTGAAAAGCCAAATAGCTACCCCACAATTATGACATAGAGCCTTTTCCTTGTGGTTTTACCCTTAAATAGGATTCCAAAATCATGCAGTATACCAGCTAGAAAGACACAAGAAGTAAAGTCTGCATGGCTGCCATATTTGCATCACTGAAAATATGGATCTGAAAAGTTTGGTTTTGGTGTTGACTTGAGTAATGACCTCACCATTGAATTCATTAACATGATATACTGAGGATGGGGTCGAGGATGACCTTTTCAAACAAGGATTTTATGAACAGTACAATCTTCTGGGATGCTATGCCATGTAGAAGTTCACTGATGTTTTAGAGGAACATGTGCCTCAACCTTCAGGGTTGAAACCTACTGCTTGCTACTTGCTTGCATCCTTGGTATACTCTTTGATTCTGAAGTTGGATATGGTACATCCCTCTGAAACATCAGCAAACTTCTACCAGACTACAAGGCATAACTGTTGAGAGATTGTAATATTGATGAAGAAAAGTTAAGAAGTTGGTAGCCATGATGAAGCTAGGCAGAATGTTGATGTAACGTGTAAAGTGCAGACATGCTTTGTTTCTATTACAGAGAAGCAGTGCTTCTCCTCTTGTTTATTAATAATAAACCGTAAGGACATGTTAACAACCGAAGTGTAGCGTTTTTACTATAACAGGTTATGGGCCCAGGCTTTTTTTTTGCGTAATGAGTGAGCTGTGATAGGTTAGAAGTGCGTCAGTCCTTCACAAGAGCGGGTTATTCGCCATTGAAGAAAATCCGAAGAAGAATGGATTTCATAAAGAAACTTAAACCACTAGGTAGCAGTGCAGACTGGCCTGTGTGGAAAAGGAAAATAAGGGATCTTATGGATTACCATGAGGGAGCCCTAGAAGCCATTGATGGTAAAATAACAAAACCGGAGCCACTTGAAGAGAACGCGACTGCAGCACAACAGAGACAGTATAAAATAGAGTTGGATTACTACAGAAAGGCAAACAGTTATGCCAAATCCATGATCACAGCATCAGTTACAGATATAGTGTATCAAAAGATAATGGATAAGGACACGGCACGTGAGGTATGGGCGACTCTCAAAAGGCAATTTGAGGCTGGTACAGAAGATCAATTGTTTAAGTTTTGTAGTGATTTCTTCGCCTTCAGTTGGTCAGACAAAGAAGATGTATCAACACATGTAGCAAAACTTTTAACCTTGTGGAATGAGTTAAACGGTGGTTTGGTGGCAACGAAGGAACATGCGCTGCCTAACCTATTGTTTATTTGCAAAGTTATGAGTATTCTACCAAAGTCATTTGAGTCATTCAAGTCTAGTTGGATGCTTATAGGAAAAAGCAAAGACAACCCAATAGATGAATTGACTAGTAAGTTATGCATGTTCGAGAGAAATTTTGTAAAATTTCCGATTCAAGAAACAGTGAAAGAAGTTGAGAATTTTACACAGGAGGCCTCTGTTGCAAGACATAACTGGAAGCCAAAATCAAAGAAAAACGACACATGCAATTACTGTAAAAGAAAAGGACACTGGGTGAAAACTTGCAAGAAGTGGATACGTGATGGCTGTCCTCAAAGAGGAAATCAAGAAAAAGAAAGTAGTAAAGACAGTGCTCAAGTAATAATTGGAACAGTAGCTTCTGATTGTGAGATTTGCTCTACAGTTGAGGTTAAGGGTACAGAGTGGTGGATTGACAATGGTGCTACAAAACACATGACAAATTGTTCCAAGTACTTCATAAATTTTGAAGGGTTTGAGAAGCCAAAGGACATTATTCAAGCAGGTCAAGCTCCGCTACAAGCAGTTGGGGCTGGAGACATGAAAGTGAAGTCAGACCTAGGAAACAAGAATAAAATGTTGTTACTAAAGAATGTGTTATTTGTGCCTGACCTTGTCAAGAATCTTTTTTCTGTCCTAACAGCTCATGAAGCCAACCCATCAAGTAGATTCATATCAGGTATTAACACATGCAGTTTGCAAGTCCATGGAGAGGAGATAGTAAAAGGAAAGCGTTCCACAGGAGGTGGATTGTACAAAGCCCTAATTGAGCCTGTTATGCCAGAGCGACAAATTGAAGTAAATTCTGTTACAACTAATGATTCCACTCTTCAGCTATACCATGAGAGGTTTGGACACCAAGATAAAAGACACATAAAGAATATCCTTGAAAAGGAGTTTCAAATAAAAGTAAGGGTAGATAGTTCTGTGTGTGAACCATGCATGTATGGAAAGGCTCATAGACTTCCCTTTGGAAGAAGAAACGAAGTGACAATTCAAGGAGAACTCTTATCTGCAGATGTGTGTGGTCCATTCAAACCAACCTTTCAAGGAAAGAGGTATGTTGCACTATTTAAGGATAATTACTCTAGATACAGATATGTGTTTTTGTTGAAGGAAAAATCAGAAGTGGAAAGTATCTTAACAGATGTGATACGGAAGGCAAAGGCCTTAGGACATGTTGTGCATGAATTCCTCAGTGATAATGGAGGAGAATTTGATAATGAGAAGGTTAGGAATGTTCTCAACAAAAATGGTATAGTTCATCGGCTAACAGCTCCCTATACGCCTGAACAGAACGGGAATACCGAGCGTGAAAACCGCACAGTTATTGAGATGGCAAGGACACTTATGTATGCAAACAAGGAAACAGAATTCCCAGAAGAAATTTGGGGTGAGTTGGTAAATACGGCAGTGTATATTTTAAATAGAACAGGAAAGTCAAAGGAAGAAGGGAAAAGCCCCTATGAACTCTGGATCAAGAAAAAGCCGCGTTTGAAACACTTCAGGATAATTGGAACCCCTTGTTATGTACATATACCGAAACAAAGAAGAACCAAGATGGATAGAAAAGCAGTTAAAGGGTACTTAGTGGGTTACGACGGTGATGAGAGATACAGAGTGTGGATAAAAGGCACAAGGTCAATAGCACTGTCAAGAGATGTGGTATTCGAAGAGAATCCAATAAGATGCATCAAATCTCATGAAGACTCTAAATCCGAGACAGGTGACAGCTTTAGCACTGGAGCTTTAGAAAACACAAGTGGTCAGTCGGATTATGAAGATGAGACTCAAAGTGAAGATAGTGAAGAGGTGCAATCAGAAGATCCAAAAACTCGCTCTTTAAGAGATAGAACTACCTTAAAGAAACCATCCCACCTAGAAGACTATGTTATGATATCAGAAGTGTTAAATGAAAGGTTCAACCCCGAGACATACGAAGAGGCAATTTCTTGTAAAGAAAAGGAGAAGTGGAAGGAAGCAATGCTTAAGGAAATGGAATCTTTACGAGAAAACAATACATGGGAAGTCACCAAACGACCAGAAAATGAAAAAATTATAAAATGTAAGTGGGTATACAGAGTCAAAGAAAATCCTGATGGTAGTGTTGACAAGTATAAGGCAAGACTTGTAGTCAAGGGTTTCAGCCAGCGACAAGGAATTGATTACAATTCAACATTTAGTCCTGTAGCAAAATGGGGAACCATACGTGCAGCCATCAGTACAGCAGCAATGGAAGGGATGTGGATGTCACAGTTCGATGTATCTACAGCCTTCCTATATGGAAGTTTGGAAGAGACTATCTACATGAGCCAACCAGAAGGTTTTTCAGATGGTACGAATAAAGTATGTAAGCTCAGGAGAAGCCTATATGGATTAAAGCAAGCTCCCAGGTGTTGGAATAAACGTTTTGGAAAGTTCATGACTGAACAAAAATTCAGAATCAGTAAGGAAGACCCATGTCTCTATATTAGAGAAAGAGATGGAAACAAGATATTTCTAGTACTGTATGTTGATGATGGTCTTGTTGTTGCAAGTAATAAAGAGGAATTAAATAGTTTTCTTCATGATTTGAAACAGAATTTCAAAATAGCTGAAAGGCCAGCAACTTATTATTTAGGTTTGGAAATAGACAGAAGACAGGATGGAAGGATCAAGATCTCTCAAGAAGCATATGCCAAAAGAATCCTTGAGAGATTTAACTTTTCAAATTGTAACCCAGTTTCAACTCCAATGGTGAAAGGAAGTATGGAATTAGGGAAAGAGGGTGATAGAAATGAGAAGAGATTTCCATATCGCCAAGCCGTAGGCGCTATTATGTACTTGATGATAGGTTCAAGACCAGACTTGGCATACAGTGTCGGAGTACTTTCAAGGTCCCTAGAGAGTCCATCAAATGAAGACATAGGAAGACTGAAAAGAGTTCTCAAGTACATTAAGGGAACCGTGTCTCTAGGCATAATCTATGATCCTAACTGTAATTCTAGAGTTTTAAATTGTTACAGTGATGCAGATTTTGGAGGATGTGAGAGCACGGGTCGGTCTACTTCAGGCGCTGTAGTCATCTATGCTGGAGGTGCAGTATCTTGGCTTAGCCGCAGACAAGCTACTGTGGCTCTTTCTACTACAGAGGCAGAACTTGTAGCAGCAACTGAAGCAACCAAAGAAGTACTATGGTTAAGCAGATTATATAAGGAGATAAACAGTTTGAATGATACTCCTTTATTAGAAGTTGATAATTTTGCTGCTGTAAAGTTGGCTCAAGATCCTACTTTGCACGGTAGAACTAAACATATAGATCGGAGACATTTTTTTATTAGAGAAGTTGTGGAATCGGGTAAGATTAGTATTAAACAAGTGTCAACAAATGATCAAGTTGCTGACATTCTGACAAAGCCACTTCACAAACCACAGATGAATAAGTTGTGTGTCAGAATGGGGTTATTTTTGTAATTGCAGTCAAATGTTTAATATTGTAAATTGTTTCTTTTCTTCTCAATAAGGGAAAGTGTTGAGAGATTGTAATATTGATGAAGAAAAGTTAAGAAGTTGGTAGCCATGATGAAGCTAGGCAGAATGTTGATGTAACGTGTAAAGTGCAGACATGCTTTGTTTTTATTACAGAGAAGCAGTGCTTCTCCTCTTGTTTATTAATAATAAACTGTAAGGACATGTTAACAACTGAAGTGTAGCGTTTTTACTATAACAATAACATCCCAGAAGATAGTACTTTTCTAGGCACTGCTGTGAGAACCTCAAATCTCGCAATACTCTTATGCTGGATTGTGGAAAATATTTATATTAGCAATGTTGAATTTTCAGGGTCTATTATGCTACTGCTGATTACTAGGGCCCGGATTTTTTTAAAATGCATATGCGCATATGCAAATGCATATTTTGAAGGTTTTTGGTTGTTATTGCATATTCTAAACGTAAGAGCATATTTCTGCATATGATATGTATGTTTGTATATGTTTGAAATTAAGGATGAGACAACCGATTTATGTGGCCGATGCATAACAAATTTCGTAGTTGTTAAGCTACATCCAGACAAACCCGGCAAACCTCATCTTCTTGCCTGAAAAATACTACAGAAAACCAACCATAGCACAATAACAAGATTTCTAAATGATTCTCTGTGACTACTACGGTCATCTGAAATTGAGAATAATTGTTGTAAGTTGCTTGTATTACTCACAGATGCAGCTTTCTATATGTTGAAAGCAGCACAGGCCTTACAAGTATTTTATCCAAATCTTATACATGTAACCTGTTTAGCGCACGGATTACACTGTATTGCAGAAAAATACGCGCACAGTTTCCAGCCGTTAACTATTCAATTGCAAGTGGGAAAAAAATGTTTCTGAAAGCACCAGCTCGTGTCCAGTTCTACAGAGATTGCCTACCTCAGGTTCCTTTGCCATCTGAACCTGTCCTAACTAGGTACTAGGTAGGGGACATGGATATCTGCAGTTTCATTTTATCAGGAGAATTTCAATCAAGTAAAAGAAGTGGTTACAAAACTTGAAGATGAGTATGCATTTGTCCATGAAGAAAAAGTGGTGTTTGGAAGTGATACTGTTTATCAAGATGTAAATTTTATTCATGCACATTTTTCTACAGTTTCAAAAGCCATTGAGAGCTTAGAATCTTGTGGTGCACCCCTTCACGACTCACTTGAACTCGTTCAGAAAGCAACTTGTTCACTGAATTCCGCTCCAGGCGAAATTGGATAGAAGATTAAATTCAAGTTAGGAAAGGTGTTGAAATCGAACCAAGGACTAAAAAAGATTCAGTCAATTTGTCAGTACTTGAGTGGAATTAGGGTATCTTTGCCAGATGAATGTTCCGAACCTTCGGCACCAGTGTATAAATACTGTCCAATGACGTCAGTTGATGTAGAAAGATCATTCTTAGCCTGTAAATTCATTTTGACAGACAATAGACGCAGTTTGCCTCCAGAAAACAGTGAAAGACTTGTAGTTGCCTATTGTGATGCTACTTTCTGCAGTGAATGATACATGTAAATAGATGAGTCTGAATAAAGTGACCTGTTTCTTAAGTGCATATTATTTTATTTTTGGTGCATATTTTCCTGCTTTTAATGCATATTTTAAGTGTTTTTAGCGCATAAAGATCCGGGCCCTACTGATTACACATTGACCGATTTTGTTTTTAGCAGATTTAGTACGGGTCTTTCCCGTTCCCCCCCTTTTTAGTTGTCTGAAATTAAACATACTGTTATATAGACTTGAAAGGATTCTGATGATGGTGTATACTGTACTTATTTTGGCTTGTTTTGGACTTCATCCATCGTCTGGTATGTAAAAGACAAAAGACCACAACATTTCAGAGACTGGATCTGTCTCCTGCCCTACCCACCTGAGGATGGAGAAAAACCCAGTCTCTGAAACGTTGTGGTCTTTTGTCTTTTACATACCAGACGATGGATGAAGTCCAAAACAAGCCAAAATAAATACTCTTATATGTACATGGTGTAACAAAGCAAGAGTATAAACAACCAATAGGTCATATTAACCCACAGTTGCTGGTTTCAACCACTTCAGTTATTAAAAAAAGATTCTGCCAGGTTAGTATTAATAGAACAGCTGATTCACAGTGTTGGTAATTAAATGAGCTCTAGAAACCCATAAAAATTATGAAAGTAATATTACATAAGCACATCACTATCAAGGTATAATGGAAATATGGATATCATTCTCAAACTAAAGTATCTGATAGGGCATATAACATTGAATCATCATAACTTTAGGGAAAAGGCATTGGATATTTATTGAGTGGTGGCACACAGTACCATAGTTGGTTGAGGCACTATGCTACAAGCCAGAAGATCGTGGGTTCGAGTCCCAATGTGGTGGATTTTTTTTTTCAGTTGACCTTGTGGGGATTTGTCGTTACTCCAATGACAACCCAGTTCTTCGGAAAGTTTGTAGGTCCTGAAAAGGACCGTTGGCTGCTGGGATGTTTGGCCGGTGAAGTAGCACGGCGTGCGCTGGTAGAAATAATGTTGGCTGCGGTGAGTTGACTAATGTTGCGGAGTTTGGTTGCTGAGTGCGGTCGCTGGAGTGGAGAGACGGGAGCTGAGCCAGTTGCCCAGTGAGTCAGGCATGACCACCGGTGAGCCGAGACAGCCCAGTGAGTCGGGCGTGCCGCTGAAGGGTTGAGGCGGCCATTCCTGGCACAGCACAGAGCCGAAGACTGACTGACTGAGTGTGACTGAGTAAATGCGTGCTGCCGGGTTGGAACTGCGCCTTTCTATACAAGGCGTGATGGAGGAGCGAAATTTTGCAGAGCGCTGATTGGCTA